GAATTTTGTAAAATCAATGACTTATTCATTGCAAATACATTTTATAAGAGACACAAACGCAGGTTATACACATGGACTTCACCTGATGGTATGCACAGGAATCAGATCGACTACATCTGTGGAAGGAACCGCTGGAGAAGCTCAATATCAGCTGTGAAAGAGACATACAGCAGGTATAGTACAAAACAAAAAACTGGATGCACTGAAGTGGAAGGAAGGTAGATGATCCTTCATTACACCACTCTTTCAGCTTTTCTTTATGTTTGGAATTTTTCAAAGCAAAGAGTGAGGAACATAAAAAAATTATAGACACAATTATTATAATTTTGTGTGCAGAAGTGGGTGTGTACGGAGCACACTGGCATAAAGAAAACTCTGGAAGAAAAGAAAATGAATAGTATGAGTGCTCTGTTTTGTCTGTAGTCTGTAAGGAGTTGTACTGCTCACCCAAAGGCTGCACCTCTCTGTGGTTCGAGTCCACCAGCAGCTTCGTGGGAAAAAGACAGACACTCTTTTCCCATGGAATTTACAGCCTCGGGAACCCAAAAGAAGGTCTGACATGTGACAGCAAAGAGCTTGAGGGCTTTTTATCACAGTGTGTTTGTAAATGGTTTCTTTTCTGTTCTAATTTTCCTATTTGTATCTGACTATTCTGTGATGAATATACATTATTTTCATTATCAGAAGCAAGTTAAACACGTTCTTGGATGATTTCAATACATAAAATGAGACAAGGAGCCTTCTCAGAGAGCGCATTCAACACGAAGGGCAGAGTCTGCCGGATGAAGGGAGTGCTGAGGTTTTGCTCTAATTTAACTTGTGCCGGAACGCCCACTCTCTTACTTGATGCTGTGTCTTGGTCTCCATGTGTCCCAGCTTTATATTCACTTTATCCTGAACAGATCCCAGCTCAGCTTTTATCTCCTCCACCGTCGCCTCCAACTGGTTCTCTAGCTTGTTGATGAGAGGTTCACATCGACAACCATTTATTGGTGCCTATGAGGGAAGTAAAAAAAAAAAAAGGATCAAAACAAGTAATTCATTCCTTTAACAAATAGATTTTGCACACTTATCACATGCCAGACACTACTCCAGGGGCTGAGAATAAAGATGATAGGGGAGACACATTGAGTTTCCCGTAACTTCTGAATATACTGTAGACCAAGCTTTGCATCTTCTAGGCAGAGAGAGTGAGGCACACATGGGCTCTCTCCTCAAGAAGCTCACTGCATTAGTCTATTCTGAGTCCTCATGACTCTATCACCTTCCTTACGACAGGTCTGGTTCAGCGTGATTCTTGACCAACGCAACTACTGCTCAATCACGACTGGTCTGCATTTGGATGCTCTCGTGTTGCTATGATATTAGAGACTGCCGTGGAATTTCCAGACTAAGACAGACTAGAGAGTACTGTTTTACTTGATGATTTACTTCCGAAATCCTGCCAATGAACCCTACATGACTTGACCCCCAATGGATCATGGAGATGGGACCAGGCTGGGCAGCCCTCTTTCTGTTGCATGTGGGATGCCATGAGTACTGAACCAATTCTATAGCAGCTGACAGTAACAAGGATGATGCAGAAAGCTTTGTAACTAGATCTTTGTTTCCTTGGGCCTACCCAGCACTATGTAAGTCAGCAGGGCCACCCAACTTGTCTTTGTTATGAAGTCCCTGGCTGAGTGGATGACAGTTCCACAGACAGCCCTGTTTAACGCTGCCGGCTCTAGCTCCTGCACAAGTACCTGCATCACTTTGCCGTCCTTGCCCCGGTACAGCGTGTAAAGCTGGTACGCTCTGAACTCATGGGGTGGAGGTGGTGATGAACACCGATGCCTGCTCCTCTTCTTCGGGTGGTTATGAGTGTGCACATTCTTCTGCTGCCCAGGCTGCTGATCTGCTGACGGAGTGGGGTCTGAAAAGGCAGACACCTGAGGGAGAGGAAGAGCCTGAGCATGTTACGTCGCCAGAGTGACATGAGCTACTGGCTCCCATCTCAGTTACTTTAGCACAAGGGACTCCTCCTTGTTTTACTTCACGGCGTTCTACTTCCAACACTGCATGCAAAAGGGGACAACACGGCATGCTAACCTTGTGCTGGAACTGGACCAGACTGAGCTTCCGTGTTCTAGGCCAGTGTGGTAGCTTTTTAGTTGTTGACATGATGAGTCCCAGGGCCCCCTGCCAACCTGCCTCCCAGCCACCCTCTGAGCCACTCTCACGTGCCTCCTGACCTTGGGTCTTGATTTTCTCCTCCTGTTGTCCTTTGCCCTGGGCTCTGGGGAGGCCGGCAGAAAATCCTCCCTGGCCTCTTCTTTTCTGAGTGCAGCCTGTTCACTGCTGCGGGTGTCTCCTGCTGAGACACTACCCTACAGAGAACAAAACCCAGACATCTAAGAAGCAACTAATGCCCCATTTTTTCACCCTTTTAAGACTCTATTTCTTCAAGGAAAAACTTAGACCCTTGACTTCAAGTAGATGCTTTAATATATGATTTTTTTTTATTCTACCTCCTTTACCTCAACACCATGTGATTGGGGCATAAATTTGTCCCTCAAGAATGGTTACTATGAAGAAAAGCAATGCTTAAGACCCTGGAGGGCCTCCCAGCCTTTTACACGGTTGGGATGAAAGGTGTTCGTTGGTTTATTTACAGCAACAGCACACCCCACTGGGGAGGTCTGCGGTATTGCTGGCCACTTCCTTTGTACCCACAACCCCACAGGTCCAACATGAGAACAGCAGCAATTAGCAAGGAGCCCATCCAGCTCCAGTTAAGGGTGATTTCCGCCTGAACAACCAATAAGACTCTTGTTCTACTTCTCCCATCACCCTTTTCCACAAATGAGGTAAAATTCCATTTGTAAAATTCCATCCACAAAGAGACGCATGAGAATCTACTCAGGAGATATGTTTCAGATCTAGGGTGGTAATTTTAACTGAATGTATAGGCTTTATTTGACTAGGTTAATAATAGGCTTTTATTAACTACTAGTTATCAAACTAAGTGTATTCTTGGGTCTAACTGTTTAGAATTCTGAGAATCTACCACCCACAAACACTGCAGCCCTGGGGATCTTAAAATCTTTTGCATTTCAACAACTAAAACCCCACCTATTCTTTGGATTTGGAAATAGCCCTCAACCCCAATTCATAGCAGAGGGAACACTTTGAAATGAAGTCTTATCAAAACTCTGGTCCTTAAGTGAACTTTGATAACTTGATATCTGAGTGACACACAGGAACATCAAAACATTACACTGCCATAAACCTGGACACTGAGGCTGTCAACTGCACAGGAACAGACTGCCTATCTTTCTTCCGAGAAGCTGCTGGTAAACCCACCAGAAAGACACAGACTATGGGTTAGCAACAACTCCTTATGTGTGAATTACTCTATCAGAGATTGCTATTGTTGTTGTGTGCCACTGAGTGAGACCAGCTCATGGTTGACCCTCCACAGGGCTTCCAGAGGCAGTAACTTGCACAGGAGATTTCTCATCTGTCTCTCATAGAGAACTAGTGGATTCGAACTGTGTGCCTGCCTTTGGGTTGGCAGTGCATCTCCTCATCACCAGACTACCAGAGATTAGGACTGTATAAAATATAAATCAGGCACAACCTTGATTACCATTTTGGTATACTGGACTTGAACTAGTCTCTTATATTTCTTCCTGGCTAAACTGTGTCAAAGTCATAGTCAATGTTATTCAAACAATACTGAAGCAAATCTGTGAATCATAGTCCCAACATTGGGGCACAGATTTCTTCTCCAAATCAAACACACAGCCTGCATGTGGAGCAGAGAGAAGTGGAGTGATATGGGCAGTGTAATGTAGTCGGTCTTTTGTTCAGGTTGGCTTTCCTAGGCCACTGCTTTCTGCCACATGGCTGGGTAGGAACATGCAGACAGTGCAGAGTGTGCAGATGACTAATGAGAGAACTGTCCAGTTTTGCTATTTGACCAGGCAGAAGAGCAAATACTTGGTGACAATAAACATGTCAAAAGGTATCCAGCGTAGCCCGTGTATCTTAGCTTGTCTCCTAGGAGAGCTGACATGAATGGCTACCATTTACCATTGTGCCAGCTCTTCATTCCACAAAGCGCCTGGCTGTGAGGGGTGGAGTGAAGTGAGCTGAACTCCAACCAAGTGTGCGCTCCGTGGATGGCTGCTGTCTTTCTCTAATTCAGACAAAAGGGCCACATGGCTCACACAGCCTTCCTTGGTCAAATCCCTAATCAGAAAGATTAGTGCACACAGGTATAGCCCAGGGGTCTTGTTGAAACACAGATTGCTGGGCCCCACCACAGGGTTTCTAATCTAGGAGATTTAAGGTGAGGCCCCACAATCTGCATTCTGAACAAGTTGCCAGGTGATGCCCTAGACATTATACTTTGAGAACCACAATTACAAGGCACGATGTCAGTGCAGTTCCTGTAGGGGGCACACAGGCCCCAGACACACAGGGCTCATAAGCATGTCCACCCAAGGGTTCTAGGAAGGGTGGGCAGCACACATGTGCCCATGCGCTGAAATCCTGGCGAAGGAAACATTAAACCAACAGGGAAACACTGACCATACTTGAAGAACCCCAGAGGGGAGGAGGGGCGAGGACTATACGGCAGCTGCTAGATGAACCCAGTGAAAGAAGGGAGCTGACTTCCCACCCACTGTGCAAGGGTGAGAGGAGAGGGCTGGAGAGCTACCCCCCACCTTGCTTTGTGCCACCTCATCTCTTGGCACAGACTGGGCTCTCCTCTCTTCCTTGAGCCTCTCTCTCTTTTTCCTCAGGCTTCGCCCACGACTGAAACGCAAAACCTAAAGGAGGCAAGAAGTACCGTTACCAACCAAAGGTGTGTGCAGCAGCAGCATGAGAAAACCGTCCTCAGGCCTGACGTTTTGATCGAAAGGAACTTTCAGGCTAGTGGGAGAGACCAAGTATTCACATACAGCACGTATGTCTAGGCTACTACAATGATTGCTAGACCCTGCCATATGACCTAGAGGTGGGGAGACCCCTTACGTCAGAAGCTTACAGTTCATGATAGTAAAAACGGGGATGTATGTGCTGGGCCAGAACTGACAAGTAAGTGTGGGCTGGCTGTGGGATACACAACTCCAGGGACACCATTCACAAGACTTAAACTCAAAAAAACTCAAACTCATTGCCTGCTGAGTTAAAACTGACTCATAGCTGACCGTGCAGTGGGTTTCTGAGGTAGTAGACCGATTGCACTGTGAGAAGACTGCCCAATCTTACTCCCTCAGAGTTGATGGTGAACTTGAACCACTTACCTTTATGTTGGCAGTGCATCTAGACACACCCGGGGCTCCTTTACCAGACATTGTTGTTGCTGTTAAGTGCCATCAAGTGGATGTTGTTAGGTACTGTCAAGTTGAGTATGACTCATAGCAACCCAATGAACAAGAAATCCATTGTCCTATCCTGCGTCACCATCATCTCTAATATACTTGACTCTATTGTCACAGATCACATAACACTTCCCTGGGGGTCTTCCTATCTTTAAAACTATACAAACTGTAGGTCAGGCACAGCCTTGGTCATCATCTAGGTTTGCTGGATCTGAACCAGGCTATCAGATTTCCTCTTTGCTAAACTGTGTCTCTAACTCAGTCTGAATCAAACAATACTGAGGTGCATCTATGAGCCGTGCTATCAACTATGGGGCAGGGATTTCCTCCTTTAAAACATGCACTGAGTCTGCATTTTGCAGCAGGGAGCAGTGTGGTGGGTTTATTGTTCAAAAAGGCTATCTTAGGCCACTTTTTTATTTTGCCACATGCAAATAGGGATCAAAGATTACTGATGAGGGTATTGCCTGTTTTCCTATCCTGCCAGGCTTACACTGAGCAGGTTTAAAGGCAAAAAATGAGAATTTTTCCACCAGAAAAAAAGAGGAATGCAGGACATGCCCTTTGGGACCAGAGATTCTTAGAGGAGAGATTTCTGTGCCAGATGGAAACAGACTGAGATCAAGACACAGTAGCAGAAGCTGTAGCTGCAGCAGCATCAGAGAATCAAAGACCAACATGAGGTAGAGCTGACTGGAGACCGCTGCTGCAGGGAGCCGGAGTTGGAGGGATCTTTGCTCAAGCTTGCCAGAGGACTGAGGGGGAGAAGTCATAATTGGCAAGATGAAGGGAGCTTTGTAACACTGACCTAAAGCTTCAGGTCAAAGGGCCTGTGAACACGCTTGAGAAACTGAAGAACTGCATCCTGCTTTCAGGCTGAATTGTAACCTGTTAACTTCTCTAATAAACCCCACAGCCAAGAGTATGGGTCTGTGAGCTCTGTGTGGCCACTGCAATTGATTGCAGACCTGATAATAGAGCAGTGAGCGCCCTGGGAGGCAGTGCTGGTGTTAGAATTGGTAGAAGTAGGTACGGGGAGCATGGGGGCATGCCTGGCATCAGAGGAATCAATTCTGTACTACGGGTGTTATGGATGGGACTGCTCCCCTGGGGGAATTAGTGGAGGTCAGAGGTGACTGCTCCCATTCCAGTCATACTCTTTTCACAGGCAGGTAATTGTAGGGACCAATAAGTGCAGTGTTTAATGCAGGGGAGTTAGCTGTAGGATCCTTGGGCAAGTAATTCACCTACTCGGAGCTCCAGCTAGTCAAAGGTAAAAATGAGGAGTTGTAGGGAGACTAAGAGAGAATGCTAGTGACACTAGACTATCATTACTGTAAGGTGCCTGCCTAGGTAACTTGGTGATACAGACCTGAATTAGCAGAAGATACTGAACCACTAAGTATAGATCTCTGAACAGGTGGACCCCCAGCCTCTGACCTAGCTCCACATCTACCCTATATTTTATTCTTGGCTTCAATGTTTACTTCTTTCAAACAACAAAATTCAGAAAGTGTCTTTCTACACTATATTAAAATAATACTAATAGAAAACATCATTTAACATTCTACCCAAACTATCCTTAAATATTGCCACCTGTCAACTCCTTCAGCTTAAGAAATGCTGAGCGAGTTCGGCCCTTTTGATTTTCTGACTCCAGCTCTCTGCACATTTCATTATAGTATCTTGCTTTGTTGTCCCGAGCTGCCTTTTGAAATTTTCTGTCCAGCTCTTTGATTTCTTGGTTTCTTCCTTTAGCTTTGGCTTCTTGGCATTCTAATGCAATACTCAAGAGTATTTTCATTTGACATCCACCTTGGTCTTTTCTTCTTCTTTAGCCTTTGTAATGATCTTTTGCATTCTTCATGGACGATTTTCTTGATATCCTCCCAGAGCTCATTTGGTCTACGCTCATTGGTGCTCAAGGCCTCAAACCTGTTCCTGAGATTCGAGTGGTACAGACTTAAGGTAAAATTTTGGTTCCCGTGGACTTGATTTAATTTTCCTCAATATCAGCTTGAACCTGCATATGAGTAGTTGGTGGTCTGTCCCACAGTCAGCACCCGGCCTGATTTTCACTGCTGATATTGAGCTTCTACAGTGAGTCTTTCCACAAACATAATCGAGTTGATTCCTATGCATACCATCAGGTGAGATCCATGTGTATAGCCTGTGTTTATGTTTCTTATAAAAAGGATTTGCAATGAATAAATCATTGAATTTGCAGAACTCTATCATTCTATCTCCAGCATCATTTCTCTCACCAAGCCCGTATTTTCCAGCTACTGATCCTTCTTCCCTGTTCCCAACTTTTGCGTTCTAGTCAGTCATTATTACCAATGCATCTTGATTGCATATTTGATCAATTTCTGACTGCAAACATTGATAGAAATCTTCCATTTCCTCCTCTTTGGCTCTAGTTGTTGGAGCATATATTTGAATGATAGTGGTAGTTACTGGACTTCCTTGTATGCATATGGATATTATCCTGTTGCTCACCACACTGTATTTCAGGACAGATCTAGAAATGACTTTTTAATTATGAAAACAACCCCATTTTTTCTCACCTTTTCGAAGAGTCACTGTATCAGAAGGACTTGGCTGACACACAGGAATTTCATGAAATAACATATGAGCAAGAGCCTATGGTGATGAAGGAGGAAGTTCAAGTTGCTCTGAAGGAATTGGCAAAAAACAAGGCTCCAGGAGTTGACAGCATACCAAATGATTTATTTCAACAAACAGATGCTGCCCTGGATGTTCTATAGTCTGTTGTGCCTAGAAATCTGGAGGACAGCCAGTTGGCCAACTAACTGGAAAAGATAGATATTTGTTCCCATTCCAAAGAAAGGTGCCCCAACAGAGTGTGGAAATTATCAAACAATATCATTAATATCACATGCAAACAAGATTCTGCTGAAAATTATCAAAAAAGGTCTGGAACAATATGTCAACAGAACTGCGATTTAGAAGAGGTCATGGCACTAGGGATATTATAGCTAATGTTAGATGGATCTTGGCAGAAAGCAGAGAAAACCAGAAGAATGTCTATATGTGCTTCATTGACTATGCAAAGGCTTTTGACTGTGTGGATCACAACAAACTATGGCTGACTCTGAAAAGAATGGGAATCCCAGAACATTTGATTGTGCTTATGTGATACCTATACTTGAACCAAGAGGCAGTCGTCAGAACAGAGCAAGGAGACACTACAAGGTTCAAAACCAAGAAGGGGGTCTGTCAGGGAGGGATTTTGTCTCCACACCTTTTCAATCTGTATGCAGAACAGATCATCTGGGCTGTACAAGGAGGAATGTGGCATCAGGATTGGTGGAAGAATCATCAACAACTTGCATTATGTGATGACACAACCCTGCTCGCTGAAACTGAGGAGGACCTGAAGCGCTTGCTGCAGAAGGTCAAGGACGACAGCCTTCAATATGAATTGAAGCTCAACATCAAGAAAACAAAGATTCTCACCACTGGGCCAATTGGCAGCATCAGGATGGATGGTGAAGAGATTGAGATAGTTAACAGTTTTAGTTTACTTGGTTCCACAGTCAACACTCTTGGTAACAACAGCCAGGAAATCAGGAGAAGAATTGCATTGGGAAAGTCAGCTGTGAGGGACCTCTCAAGAGTACTGAAGAGCAATGGTGTCAGGTTGGAGACTAAGGTGCGCCTGACCAGGCTACAATCTTTGCAATTACGTGCTATGCATCAGAGAGTTGGACAGTGAATAGGAATGATAGAAAGAGAATTGATGCCTTTGAGCTGTGGTGCTGGAGAAGAGTGTTGAATATACCATGAACTGCTAGGAGAACAAACAGGTTTGTCCTAGAGAGGGTGAAGCCAGAATGTTCCTTGGGGTCAAGGATTCTGAAGCTTCATCTGACATACTTTGGGCATGTTGCAAGGAGGGATTGGTCCTTGGAGAGGGACATCATGTTTGGAAAAGTGGAGGAGCAGCGCAGGAGAGGAAGACCTTCGAGGAGATGGATCGATTCTGTGAGTGGAGTGGTGCTAATGAGTGTGTTTGAGACGGCGAGGTTGGCACAGGATAGGATGGCGTTTAGGGCTCTTGTACATAGGGTTGCTATGAGTTGCAAGGAACTCAATGGCACATAACAACAATAACAACAATAGAAAACAACTAAATTACTGTCTTTTTATAAGTAGATAGGGCTTGGTGGAATCCAGCATGGTATCTTTCATTTCAAAGCCATTTTCCCCCCTACTGTGCTCAAGAAATTCAACTGGTGCAATTATATGAAAAAAAACCTCTAAAAGCAGTGGGCTACAGAGTTCACAAATGTAAAACCCTTGATAACATTTGTCTGTTACAAAATTTTATTTTTGAACTTTATTCTCAAGCCCTGAATGAATAATTCTAAAAGTATCTAATGACCCTTATATCCATGAAACTAAAATTATTTCAAGATTTTTCAGGGTTTTTTTTTTGTATTTTTTTTAAAAAATTTATTTATGTATCTTTTATTTCTATTTATTCATGTTGCACATTTTACTCCCTGCCCACCCCTCCCCCGAGTTTGCTTTTCTCTTTGACAAGTAAAATAAAAATTCTTCCATTGTTATACAATTTCCCTCCCCCACCCCCACCCCAGTCCACTCTACTATACTGGTTTCATTCTGGACTCCTGTCACGACAATAATACCTAATCATATATTCCTCCTAAACAGTACTCTCCCTCATCTGTTTCAATGCAGTGTATATTATTTATCCCTTCTTAGCTTCCCCTCAACTCCCATGTCATTCCTGCTTTACAACAGTGGCACTATGTAGTATTTGTCCTTTTGAGACTGTGTTATTATTGTTGTGTACTGTCCAGTTGGAACTGACACATAGGTAACCCTCTAGTGGGTTTTCAGAGGCAGTTAACTGCATGGGAAGAAACTGTCCATCCTTCTCCCATGGAGTAGCTGGTGAATTCAAACTGTGTGCCTTCGGGACTGCAGTGCAGCTTCTTACCACTTCGGGCACCGGAGTGTCCTAATAACTATGTTATTAACCAGGGAAAATAATTTTGTATGGTGATAGTATCTCATAAAGAACTATACTATCTACCAGATTAGATATCGTTAATCTTGTCCAGTCAATCTTTTACAGAATCAAGGAATATTGATTCTGAGGGTTTGGAAAGAAGTGTTGTCTTATTACTACTGTGTGGCTCATGGAAATCCATGGTCAACTGAGGTGCCAAGGCAAGGAGATTTCTCTATTCAGTTAAAACAAACAGAAGGGCTATTTCTGTGACTACGGATCAGCAGAGTGGCATGTATAAACATTTATATTTATTCCAAAGTTATATACAAGGTGAACTTCCCTAAAATGTCATCAATTTATTTGATAATAAATATGGGTCTAGAAAAGCTTGCTTAAGTCATATTTTTAATGGAAACACAGGAGGCCTTCGTAGGAAGACAGTCCAGGATAAAGCTGTTGTCCTCACAGTTAAGACAAATGACTAAAGATGTATCAATCTCCGTGTGCCAGAGGATGGGACTGGATCTCTATTACCTTGCTAAATGCTAAAGTGGTAGATGATGGTAGCCGCTGTGAGGAGTTCTGACATTTATAGAGCATCTTGTACTTCTTGTTCTCCCAGAGAACCATATTTTTTTTTCTATCAGAATTCATGGATGTGATTCTGAAGTGATTCTGCTTGAAAACAGCTGAACTGAGGTGGATACTCTAGGAGTTCTGCTTGTTTAGTCGTAAGGAGTTGCACTCCCAATCCAAAGGGATATGGGTTGAATTCACGATTGCCCTGCAGGAGAAAGATGGGCAATCTCCTCCCATGTGATTAATTGCCTCTAAAAACCTGCTGGAGCGTCAGCTGAAGGTCAGCTGTTGGTTGGTTCCAACTTGACAGTATACAATAACAACTCCTTCCCCTAGCAACGTTACTGAAGGGATACTTAACTTATCCCCCACCAGGAGCTCTGTGGACTACCCAGGATCTCACAGAAGACTAAGTCCACCAGCAAGAGGTTGGTCTATTTGCAAAAGACTAAAATCCCGACCATTTCCAGAACTACAGTTACAATCTCCTGAGCTGGGCCGTTATTGGGTAGGGAAGCAGCAGGGTGGTGTTCAGAAGCTTCTGTTAATGCCCTAAGATTGAATGTCTTCTTCTAACATTAGCCAGAATAAAATGAAAAACAACCACAGCTTGCTGAAATATAATATACCACACTTTGCATCTGGAAGGAACCTAACTACTTAATAGTAAGAAACAGTTAAACAGAATTTCAGACAGAAACAAAAAAGAATATTTTACTTCCATTATAATGAATAACTATCAAAACTACAGAACATTTTCCTACTAAAGTTAGAATAAAAGGCAGAATATAAGCTTTGGTGCTGGAGAAGAGTATTGAATATACAGACTGCTAGGAGAACAAACAAGTTCATCCTGGAGAGGGTGAGACGAGGCTGTTCCTTGGAGGCAAGGATTCTAAAGTTTTGTCAGACATACTTTGGCCATGTTGCAAGGAGGGATCAGTCTTTGGAGTGGGATGTCATGTTTGGGGGTCAGGGGGAGTGGAGGGACAGCACAGGAGAAGACCACCCTTGCTGAGATGGACTGAGATAGTGACTGGAGTAAGGTGGGTAGGTGTGTCAGAGACAATATGATTGGCACAGGATAGAGCAGGGTTTAGGGCTGTTGTACATAGGGTCGCTATGAGTTGCAGGCGATTTGACGGCACACAACAACAACAACAACAATATGTGTATATAAGCTGACCCTCTAGTGGGTTTTCAGAGGCACAGGAGAAGACTGCCCATCTTTCTCCAGAGGAACCACTGGTGGATCCAAACTGCCAGCAAGTCACCACCTTCAGGTTAGCAGTGCAACTCCCTTCAGAATATGCCATCAGAGCCCCACATACATATGTCTGAATTTTGATCTTGAGATATACACACACACACACACAAACACACACACATATAGCAGGCACAATAAAAAGTATGTTTCTATGAAAACAAAAACAGATGTATGAAGGTGTCTGAATTCTTT